TTCATTAACATTTATGATTTTTGTGATACAAATTTCTCAATTTAATTTGTATTATTTTATTAGAAAATTTATATGGGATATGACATCAAAAAATTTCGAAATTTTACATTCGAAAAAGTCATATTCCATGTAAATTTTCGGATGTAAAATTACATGGGATATGATCTTTTTGTATGTAAATTTTCGATTATAAAATTTCTCCCAACTTTTTTGTAAGTTCGATTGTGCCCCCTAACTTTAATTGTTTGCGTCCGTCCCTGGTTGTAGTCAACTATCAATGTACTGTAACCTTTTTATCGTTGGTTGAGGCTGGCAAAGACTTTCTTCCTAAAACTTCAAGACACTAATTGAATAATTTTTCCTACTTAAAAGGAAAGTTTCATTCAAGGTCAGCCACCTTACAAAATTATTTCGTGTTCATCACTCAACTTTAATTTATGAAGTTGATTTCCTGACAGAGACTTTCTTCCTAAAACATCGAGAGAGTAATTGAATAATTTTTCCTGCTTTTAAGGAAAGTTTCATTCAAGGTCAGCTACCTTACAAATTTATTTCGTGTTGATCATTGAACTTTAATTTATGAAGTTGACCTCCTGAAAGAGACTTTCTTCGTAAAATATCGAGACACTAATCGATAATTTTTCCTACTTATAACTTATAAGGAAAATTTCATTCAAGGCCGGCCACCCTACAAATTTATTTCGTGTGGATCACTCAACTTTAATTTATAAAGTTGACCTCGAATATTTTATATTAATTTAACCATTTTATCTTTAACCTCCCTATTTCGTCCTATTTTTTTTTCAAATTTATTTTTAACCGTACGTTCCATTATTTAAAAAATTATTAAAAATCTGCTTTTCAATGAAACCAAACAGGAGCTAAAGAACTGACAGAATTCAGAATGTAAAATCATTGGAATTCGTGACCCAATCAAAATAATTCATTTTGGGATGCTAAATCATGTTATTATTACAGTTTGATTTGTTTCAAAAAGAATGCTTCATGGTGGTCCCAATAATTGTCTTATAAGAAACAGCAAAATCCGAGACTTGTCATAAGACGGT